TGACCAGATTCCCTACATTTCCCAACATTTTCTGGGTGTTTGTCTCCCCCCCCACTTCCCATATGTTCCCATCTTTTCCTGGGGATCGACGATTGATTCTGTCTGTGTGCTTTTTCCCCTCCTGGCACACCTGAGCCAAGGATGGGCCTGGCCGGCCGCAGCGGTTGCGTACAACTCGAAGGGGCAGCGCCAGGGGGGGGGACCAGCTCAGGGGGGAGGGGACACGTCGAGCTTGCGTCGGTGACCCCGTGCCAATAGACCGGCGACCTGCACCCAACTGCGAATCCGCACGTTCCTGGGAGCGGTGGGCTATCAGGCAGGCCCCTCTCGGGGGCGCGCCAACATGGATTACCGATCCATTGATTTGGTGCGCGGTCGCCAGATCCATGGATCGGGGGGAGGTGCCCTCCCCAAAATGCGGCCCGTGCCGCCTCGCCCGGCGGCGGAAATCCGCATTTCCCATGCAAACGGGACCCGTCGCTAATCCACGCCCTCTGATCCATGTTTGAAGCACCGCTCTGGACCGCAGGTTAGCAGAGAAGCCGAGGCGCGGCTCCAACCTCCGGCGGATGATCAGAGGACGCGGCGAGGCAGATGGCGAGCGAGGTGAGATCGCTTGCCGCAAGCAAACGAGGACGGGGGGTGAATTGGAAAGAGCCCCACGACCCTCCCCGTCCAACCCATCCTGCTCCTCGACCTGCCTCCCCCCCCTCCTCCTCCTCCTCGTCCTCATTTGTCCTCCCCGCTTCTTCCTCCTCAACCCAATCCTCCTCCTTCTCCTCCTCCTCCTCCTCCTCCTCCTCCTCCTCCTCCTCCTCCTCATCATCATCAGCAGCAGCAGCACCACCCAAACCACCACCACCACCACCACCACCATCACCTCACCACCATCGCCATTATCAACATCATCACCACCACCACCACCATCATCATCAGCATCAGCATAATCAGCAATCAGCATCATCAGCATCAGCAGCATCATCAGCAGCAGCAGCAACATCATCAGCATCAGCATCATCATCAACAACCTCATAATCATCCCCATCAACATCATCATCATCATCATCATCATCAGCATCATCATCATCATCATCATCAGCATCATCATCATCATCATCATCATCATCATCATCATCATCATCATCATCATCATCATCATCATCACCATCGTCATCATCATCATCATCAGCATCATCACCATCATCAACATCATTACCATCATCATCAACAACAAAATCATCATCATCAGCATCATCAGTATCCTCATCATCATCATCAGCATCAGGAGCTCAATCATCATCATCATCATCATCATCATCATCACCATCATCAGCATCAGCAACATCATCAGCATCATCATCAGTATCAGCATCAACATCATCAGCATCAGCATGATCATAATCATCGTCGTCGTCATCGTAATCGGCATCGTCATCATCACCTTCAGCACCATCAGCATCATCAGCATCATCATCATCGTCATCATCATCATCAGTATCATCATCATCACCATCATCATCACCATCATCAGTATCATCATCGGCATCGCTATCATCGGCATCGTCGGCAGAATCCTCGTCAACATCATCCTCGTCATCGTCATCAATATGAGAGAGCGTGATCCACTGCCGCTTTACTATGGAAATTTCCTCCCCCCTCCTCCTCCTCCAGAACCCGAGGGGACTCCCCCCCCTCGAATATCCCCCCCCCGTGCTGGAACCCCCCCACACACCCCTCCCCCCAGCAAAACCCCCACCCCCCTAAACCCCTCCCCCCCCCCTCCTCCAGAAAACAAGGGGGGTCACTACCGGTTCGACCCCCCCCCTTCAAAAAACCGGGAGGGGTCACTACCTTTTCGAATCCCCCCCCTTCACCGCCGGCAAACGACTCCCGGGTCCCCCCCACCGTCCGCACCACATCCCCCACCGCTGTCCCCAGCACCACCGTCCCCACCACGGTCCCCACTTTTCCCACCACCGTCCCCACTGTCCCAGCCAGTGCCCCCAGCACTGTCGCACTGTCCCCACTGTCCCCAGCACTGTCCCCACCACGGTCCCACTCTCCCCACTTTCCCCACGGTCCCCACCACTGTCCCAGTGTCCCGACTGTCCCCACTGTCCCACTGTCCCCGACACTGTCCCACTGAACTGTCCCACTGTTCCCACCACTGTCCCCACTGTCCCCACCAGTCCCACTGTACTCCTCCCATTGTCCAACCACCGTCCTCACCACAGCACTCACCACTGTACCCACCACCACCGTCCCCACCACTGTCCCACTGTCCCCACTCTCCCCGCTGTCCCAATCACTGTCCCACTGTCCCCACACCACTGTCCCCGCCGCCGCCATCCCCACCACTGTCCCACTGTCCCCACCACTGACCCGCTGTCCCCTCACCACTGTCCCCACCACCACCGTCCCCACTGTCCCACTGCCCCCACCACTGTGCCACTGTCCCCACACCACTGTCCCCACCACCACCGTCCCCACCACTGTCCCAGTGTCCCCACCACTGTCCCACTGTCCCGAGGAGCGAGAACCGTTTGCTGGCCGTCGGCGAGGGGGAGGGGGGGAGTTCGAACCGATAGTGGCCCCCACCCTTTTCATGATGGACGGGGGGGGAGGAGGGGGTTCGAACCGGTAGTGACCCCCCCCGGTTTTCGAGGGGGGGGGACGGGTTGGGAAACCCTCAGTGACCCCCCCGGTATTCCGCCAGCAGCGGTAGAACACGCTCTTTCGAATCCTGGGTACGATCCTCTGCATCACCATCACAACCATCAGCAGCACCATCGGCATCATCATCACCGTCATCATCATCATCATCATCATCATCATCATCATCATCATCATCATCATCATCATCATCATCATCATCATCATCAGCATCGTCATCATCATCATCAGCAGCAGCAGCAGCAACAGCATCAGCATCAGCGTCAGCATCACAATACATATCATCATCACAACTGCAATCACAAGCATCAGCATCAGCATCATCCTCATCCTCATCCTCATCCTCATCGTCCTCCTCCTCCTCCTCCTCCTCCTCATCACCATCACCATCACCATCACCATCACCATCACCATCACCATCACCATCATCATCATCATCATCATCATCATCATCATCATCGTCATCCGCATCATCATAATCATCCGCATCATCATCAGCAGCAGCATAGTCGTGATCATCGTCATCAACAGCACCATCATCATCATCATTATCATCATCATCATCAGCATCATCATCATCATCATCGTCATCATCACCAGCATAGTCACCCTCATCCTCATCACCATCAGCAACATCATCATCATCATCATCATCATCATCATCATCACCATCAGCGTCAACAGCATCATCATCATCATCAGCATCATCATCAGCATCGACATACGCATCGTCAGCATCACCATATTAGTTATCGTCATCGTGGTCAGCATCATCATCAGCATCAGCATCATCATGCACATCGTCAGCATCGTCGGTGTCATCAGCATCATCAGCAGCAGCATCATCATCATAAGCAGCTTCAGCATCAGCATCATCATCAACAGCAGCATCACAATCATCATCATCATCGTCGTCATCATCAGCATCAGAATCACCAGCATCCTCGTCATCAGCAGCATCATCACCAACGTCGCCATCATCATGATCATCACCATGATCACCATCATCGTCGTCATCATCACCATCATGTTCAGTCGCATCAGCATCGTCATCATCAACCTCATGGTCACCGACATCAGCATCGTCATCATCATCACCATCATCAGCATCATCATCATCATCAACAGCATCATCATCAGCATCATCGTCGGTCGTCGTCGTCGGCGGCGGGCCGTCGTCGTTGGCGTCATCCTCGTCCAGTCCTCGTCCTCATCAGCATCATCATCATCAGCAGTATCATCAGCAGGAGTGGCACCATCATCATCATCATCATCATCATCAGGAGCAGCATCATCATCAGATGCATCATTATGCTCATCACCACCATGATCACCATCAACAACAGCATCACCAGTATCATCACCACCGTCACCACCGTCAACATCACCGCCATCGCCATCGCCCCAACACCACCACCACCATCATCAGCATAAACAACAACATGTCATGATCATCATCATCATCACCATCATCATAATCATCATCGCCAGCATCAGCATCGGAATCCTCATAATCATCATCAGCATCAGCATCGCCATCATCATCACGATCATCAACAACAGCATACCCATCGCCATCCTCAAGCTAGTATCCTTCTCCTTCTCCTCCTCCTACTCCTCCTCCTTCTCCTCCTCGTCCTCTGTCTCCTCCTCCCTCACGAGCGCGTGCGCGCGCGTTGGGTATGAGAGGGGGGTGGAAGAGGAGGAGGAAGAGGAGGGGAGGAGGCGGGAAAGAGGAGGGGGAGGGGAGGGAGAGGGATGGGGAGAAGGAGAAACGCCCTCCTCCTCCTCCTCCTCCTCCTCCTCCTCCTCCTCCTCCTCCTCCTCCTCCTCTTCCTCCTCCTCCCCCTCCAACGTCCACCCTCCACCCTCCTCATGTCCACCTCTGGTGACTAGTCCAAGAGGGCGAAACAGCTGGCGAAAGCTCGAGACCGTGGACCCCAGGCTGCCCTTAACCAGGGTGGCCAGGAGGAGCAGCTGCAGGAGAAGCCGCCCGCTCTGGGGCAGCGCGTCCTTCCTCCCCACCATTCCACTCCCTCCTCCTTCTCGTCCAGGCGTACGGAGGAGAGCGGAAGAGGCGCGAGGAGGAAAAACAAGGAGGGAAGCAGGATGAACGGGGAGGAGGAGGAGGAGGAGGAGGAGGAGGAGGAGGAGGGGGAGGAGGAGGAGAGGAGGAGGAGGAGGAGGAGGAGGAGGATCAGGAGGGCAGTGGAGGAATGAAGGGAAGGAAGGAGGGAAGGCGGAAGGGAGGGAGGCAGGGGGTTCGTCCCAGCCGCTCCTCTCGACCTCTGACACATCCGACAGGCCCCGTCTGACGCCCCGATGGCCTGTGGGACAGGATCGCCTGAAACACGCTCTGCTCGTCGAACTCGCCTGCCACGTCCGCCGCTTAGCTGCTACGGCGAAGAAGAGAAGAGGAAGGAAGAATACGGAAGCGGGGAGGGAGAGGGATGGAGAGGAGGAGGAGGACGACGATCAGGGAGGTGCCTCGGGAGTGGGGAGCGGAGTGGGAAAGGAGAGAGAGAGAGAGGAGGAAAAAAAAAAAGAGCCACGACCGCCGCCTTCCGACCGCCCCCGTCCTTTGCCCCTGCCTCCCCCCCCACCGGCTGGCCGCTCCTCCCGCTTCCTTTTCCTCTTCCTCCTCCTCCTCCTCCTCCTCCTCCTCCTCCTCCTCCTCCTCCTCCTCCTCCTCCTCCTAATGTTCTGGCGTTCTTGTCGCTCGCGGGCGGGTGTGGTTTCGCACCGGGGAGCCGCCGCCAGCTGCCTTGCCCGGGCCTGGTTGCTCCCCGGGTGCGGGGGAGTGTCCTTCCCTCCCCCCCCCCCCCACGAGAGAGAGAGAGAGAGAGATAGAGACGGCGCCTCAAGGGATCGGAAGGTGAACGCACCCAAATAACCCACCAACAGACGAACGCGAAGAGCACGACGGGAACCGCGACAGACTTACCCACGTCGTCGAGCTCGGAGCGCCGAGCTGACTGCCTCGAACGTCACCGACGTGCGGACGGCGCTGGCAGGAAGGAGAATGAGGAGGCGAGACGAGGCGAGCGCGCGGCACCGCCTCAGGAGCGGGGCCATGGGGGGGGACGTTTGAATCATCGATAAAGAGGAGGAGAAGGAGGAGGAGGAGGAGGAGGAGGAGGAGGACTCTGCTCTGCTGGACTCTGCTGATCGCCGCTCACGCGGCAGGCCACTTTTCTGCAGCCCCTGGGGTCGCAGGAGGAACGCGAGCCTCCGCGACCCCAGGGCTCCTGCCGCAGGAGGAACACGAGCCTCCGCGACTGCGCAAACTGCAGCCCCAGGGGTCGCAGGAGGAACACGAGCCCCCGCGCCCCCAGAGCAACCGCCGCAAGAGGAACACGAGCCTCCACGACAGCACCGACCGACGTGCCGCAGGAGGGCACGAGCCTCCGCGGCACTCAAAAACTCGGCCGCGTAGACGGGGGAGAGGCCGAGATTCACCATGACCTCCCGCTGTTCGGTCTCGCCCAGAGCCAAGTACGCATCCGTCATCTCATCAGAGGCGTCGTCACGCCCGACCTCCGCACGGGCCAGGGCGGCTTTGGCAAATTCAACGCTCAGGGCCGCCTGGCTCGAGACGGCGTGCTTCCTGGCGCACTCGGCCATGGCGTCCTCCTTGCCGCTGGTGCCCCCCGTCGTCACCACAGTCTGCACCTTCTTTTTCTCAGCGTCCTCAAGCTCCGCGCCGAAGGTGCGCACCTGCATCACGTTCGGCTGCACGTTCGGCTGCGCCCGATCCTTCACGACCACCATCTTGAGGGGGTAGGCGCCCGACCCCGCAAGGCTCTCCTGCTCCGTGAGCCCGTCGCCCGTGCTGCCAGCATCGGAGCCAGTGAGGTGGGAGCGCACGTCCCGCGCCAATCCGACATCAGGATGCCCTGTGGCGTTGCGAAGCTTGCTCAGCCTCCCGACTCGGGAAGCGAACTTCGGCGCGCCACGCTCACGCAGAATGCTCTTGGCGTCCTGGACCGAGACGGGAACCGTGAGGTTCATTGCGTCCTTGACCCTTCGAGGACCACCTCGAGCTGTACCAACTCGCACCTCTTGCCGTAGCCGTCGTCGACGCCATCCGCGCATGCTGCCGATGCGCCTGCCGCCATGCCCTCGACAGCCCCGCGTGCTGCAGCCGCCACCACTGCGGCGGTGACATTGGTCTGGAGGTCGGAAAGGGGTATGGCATAAAGGGGTGTGGTGCCAATCGTGGAAATCGAGATGCTGTCTACAATAGATGGCATCGTCAGACTCAACATCGGCACCATACCCCTTTATGCCACACCCCTTTCCTACCTCCAAAATTGGTGCCGCGCTGGCCACCCTGACCGGCGAGTGCTGCCAAGGCCGCGCCAAATGCCGCCTGGGCGATCGGCAGCGCCGCCAGCTTTCCCAACAGGCCACCCATTCCCCATCGCACGACGGAGAAAGGCCGCGCGAGCGGCCAGCCGCGACCAGCTCGGCGCGCGCCGAACGTGAGCTAAAAATGGCGGCGGAGGAGGAGGAGGAGGAGGAGGAGGAGGAGGAGGAGGAGGAGGAGAAGGAGGGGGAGGAGGAGGAGGAAGAGGAGGAGGAGGAGGAGGAGAAGGATATTGGAGGCCTGGAAATGGGCACCAGCACCAACACAGGGGGGTACCGTACCTCCCCACAGGGGAAGACTCATCCTCGATTGCGGTGTTGGTGGTAAGGTTTCGGCCACCTTGGAAGCCAGCAGTATTGCCACCATCACCGAGATCAGGATCTTCGTCCCTCGGTGGACGCACAGCGCCGATACTGGTGTTGGTGTCAACGATCACCATCTAAGCCTGCGAAATAAGGTTGCACAAATAGTCCGAACCACTTGTAGGCAGGGGGCGCGCAGGCGCCAGCCACCATTCGCGGCCAGTGTCGTCGGGTTGCCCCGTGCCGCGGCTGAGCGTCCACGCTGCTCCCGACAGCTTCACGAGCTCGTCGCTTCCGCTGACCGCCATGCTCGCGCTGGGCAGGTTTCTGGTCGTGGCGCGCCGCGCCCATCGGTCTGCAGGCAAGTACGCAACCTGGCTGGCCAAAGTCCATGCTGTGCTGAAGCTCGGCGAAGCCCAGTCGCCGACCCTGGCACGTTTGGCGCGGGCGCCGGCAGTGCGCGCGGCCCTTCGTAGGAGGACCACGACTCGAGGCCAGGAGGAAAGTGAGGATCGGGATGGGACGGAGAAGGATGAGGATGGAGATGGACAGCACGAGCATGAGGAAGGAGGGGGAGAATCGAATTAAGACTAAGAGAAGCAAGAGGAGAGGCGGGAGGAAGAACCTGGGGGGGTGAACAGGATGGGTGAAAAATGAGCCGTGCCTGGATGCGATACCTCAAACCCTTGAAACGGCAAGGCAGAAATCCCACCAGCCCTCTGGGTCAACGTAGGCGGTTTAACAAACGTGTGCATTCCCTCTTCCAAAATCCCTCCTTCCCCTGCTCGGGGGAGGGGTTTACCCCTCCCCCACACCCCTCCCCTGAGCAGGGACGTTTTTTTTTTCCAGGGCGGCCGAAGCTGAGTTCACACTCTAACCGGTCCTACGGCTCCCTCACCGTGCCCGTGAGGTGGACCCCGAGGTCCTGTGCCGAGTATGCTGGACAGGCAGCACCGGGGGCAAACATTTACACGGACAGCCAAGCGCACAAGCCATAGCAAGCTTCGACAGGGACGAGCCTAAAATCGAGGATAGGCCGGCACACCCAAAATTGAGAACGCGGCCCGCAAAGGCGGCAACACGCAACGAACATGTCACGAATTACGGCCCGCAAATGCGGAAGTAGGAGGAGGAGGAGGAGGAGGAGGAGGAGGACGGGGGGGGCGCGCGAGGTGTCAGAGGGTGCTGTGTGGTCCAAGATGGCTCCAAGAAGGCCTCCGCGAGCCCAAGATCGCCTCCAAGATTGGTCAAGGCACCTCAAGATCGCTTCAGATAGCCTCGGACGCGCACTTAAGAGGCATCAAGACGGCCCCAGCACTGTGTCCAGTGCCCGCCGAGCCCTCCGAGGACCACCCCCCCCAAGAGGCCAAAATACCCCCCGAGCCTAAGAGAAATCAATGTAGTGTGCCTTCCCGCTGCTTCGCTTCCGATGGGCGTTTCAGGCCTCACGATGGCCCCAAGACGACCCACGAGAGCCCCGAGAGGGGCCCAAGAGGGCCTCAAAAGAGCACCCAAGAGCGGCCCAAGAGGGCCCCAAGGCGCCATGCTTGAGCCTCCGAGAGGGGTGGGCCGAATCAAGAGGCCGCCCAAACCCCTCCAATGAGCCCCAAGAGGAACCCACGACCCCCCAACCGAGCCCCAGGGGGACCCCAAGATTGACCTGGGAGGCCACATGGGGACCCCAAGAGAGCCCTTAAGTTCAAGGCCCCTGCACGGCAACCTAGTTCCAAAGCCCGACCGTTCGCCCTACGTGCCATCGTTCGTTCCAACCCGCATCTGGTCCTGCCTCCTCCCTCCTCACTCCTCCTCCTTCTCCTCCTCCTCCTCCTCCTCCTCCTCCTCCTCCTCCTCCTGCTCCTGCTCCTGGACATGCTCCCGCTCCTCCTCCTGTTCCTGCTCCTGCTCCCGCTCCTCTTCCTTCACCTCCTCCGTCTCCTCTTCCCCCTCCCCCTCCCCCTAACCCTCCT